GAAATTGTTTGTCTCCAATACTTTCTTCAAAATAATCTGCGTATGCCTATGTTCAGGCTAGTTAATGAAAAATTAATTTTGGTGAGAAGAAGTTTTAAAATATGTTCTTTAAAGTCTGTATGTCCATAAGAGTTGGTACGATGCAATAAAAGGATGGAATAAAAATATCTAGATATTGGAAAGTAGACTACATATCCTTTGCAGCATGCCTACTGTGAAGACAATGTGAATTTTGGCAGCTGAATTTAACTCTGGTTTCTGTTTCATTTTTGTATATTTAACTTCTGTTTCTCTTCCATATTTTCATTGGATGCCATAATCTTTAAAAAAGCTTTTTTTTGATTTTATAGATTCGTAGAATTCACTATATGAGTACTTGGAATTTAATTTTCAAGTCCTTTTACTCTTGACTCCTGTAACACTTTCTGGAGAACGAACGCTATTTACAGTTGAAAAAATTCTTTCTATTAGAACTGATGCATTTAGCTGCAAAAAACCTTCTATAAGAACTGACTATGAGGAACGTTTACGTTTTCATATTGGAAAAATTTACTTTTGTTTGTATATATATGATTATTGAAGTTATATATGATTATTGAAGTAAAACTGTTGCTTTTCTTGAAGTGGCTGCATCACCCCTGTTGTTTTCTAACTTTAAAATAGACACTTTAGGGTCGCAACGACCCTCCATTTTTTCATAATTTTTCACCCTTCATTTTTCCATTTTTTCATCCCATCATTTTTTTCTCCATCATTTCATATCCTGTCATAAGGCGTGTCGTCACTACGGAATACAGGGAATCAGAAGATTTTAAAAAAATTGAGGATTCTATCTTTTTACCACAGTAGTCATTGCTATGATTACGAGTCATGGTTTGGGGGCAGGTAATGGTTTTGATGTGCCTAGTCTAAAGTAACAAAGTGTATCATAGTTAGTATTATATCCGTACCGAATTTCTGTACTGGGGTTATTTTACTTTCGTAGTTTAGTTATTGACTTTACACTGACAATGAATTAAATTTTATTTACTTCTTATGACTAAATTTTAACACGCATATCTAAATTTTAACTTGTTATTTTGAAGAGTTATCTTTCTAAGGGTTTAAGGAATTTTAAACGTTGTTAAATTAATATCTGTTGTTTAATATTTGGTATTAACTAATTTTAACATATTAATTTATTCTTTCTTTATTTCAGACAATATTTTCTGGTTTATAAATAAATTTACTTTTATGCATATAGTTACATATATCCTCTTTTTTCTATGTGCATCAAAATTGCAGCTGTATCGGTCAAGGAGAAATGTGATAACAATTTCTGCAAAGATTTTGGTTTTTATTCCATGATCAGGCTAATATGACGTCTCAAATCTCAGAATATATGGAAAGGAATGTTAATTAGTACCCGGGTTTAAAACATGCATCTTTCTGAAATACCTACGCAGTGTTTGCAACTACGATGAATACACACCGGACTGTGTGGACAAGCGAATCAATTGTAGGCTGAGGGTCTCTTCAACTGGATTTTGATTTTCAATAAATACACTCCTAGACAAAAAAAAAAAAAAAAAAAAAAAAAAACGACGCACCAAGAAGAAGTTATCCGAATGGGTCGAAAATCGGTAGAAGTGATATACATTGTACAGAAAAACAAATGATTACAGTTTGAGAAAAATTGGATGATTTATTAAAGTGTTAGAGCTTCACAAAGTAAAAAAGTCAGTAACGCGTTTGTACACTTCTGGCGCTTACGAAAGCAGTTATTCGGTTTGGTATCGATTGATAGAGGTTGTGGATGTCCTCCTGAGGGATATCGTGCCAAATTCTGTCCAACTGGCTCGTCAGATCGTCAACATCCCGAGCTGGTTGGAGGGCCCTGCCCATAATGCTCAAAACATGCTCAATAGGAGAGAGATCCGGTGACATTGCTGGCCAATGTAGTATTCGGCAAGCACTAAGGCAAGCAGTAGAAACATGTGCAGTGTGCGGGTGAGCATTATCTTGCTGAAATGTAAGCCTGGGGTGGCGTGACATTAAGGGCAAGACAACGGGCCTTAGAACTTCGTCGACTGTGCTGTAAGGTTGCGACGGATGATCTGATTGTCGGCCTGCCTGCCAGAAGACAGTCAGGTTGGTATCACACCGCTGTCCGAGGCGTCTCCAGACTCGCCTTCGCTGGTCTCAGTTCAAAGTGGGTTTCATCACTGAAGACTATTCTACTCCAGTCAGTGACATTCCAGTGCGAATGAGCCCGACACCACTGCAAACGGGCTTGACGTTGTACAGAGGTCAATGGTAGTCGGCGCAAGGGGAGCCGTGACCTCAGCCTCCTTTCTGTGAGCCGCCTATGAGTAGTCCTTGCGGTCACTGAAGCTCTAGTTGCACGTACAATCGATGATAATGATGCATCTGGAGCTGTGATTGCCGCTCTGACGATTGCTCGGTCTCTACGTTCTGCCTTTCTCTAGGCCTACCGCTTCCTTCTTGACGCTGTGTGTGGCCATGGTTCACCCATTCCTGGCTAATAGTGGAATCGCTCCTGCTCAAATGTCGAGCTATTTGCTGATAAGACCAACCGGCTTCTTTGAGCCCACTACATGACCTCTCTCAAATTCTGACATCTGTGCATATCATTCGCGCACCTGTACGCGAGGTATAGTTACTGTCTACCAGAGTACACGGAATGAAATTCGTGAAGAATTTATGACCTGGAATTGTAATTTGTCCTCTTAAATGTCCTGCCAGTTGCAGGTCGCTGTAGCGACAACCGTTCATTCATTAGCAGCCAAAATGTAAAATTTTGCATTTTTCGTCGAAATCTGTATGCATATCAATTTGTGTCTAATTTGCTTTATATCTTATGCTTTAAATGCGAAGAACATGATATTTCATAAATAAAGGTAACACACAAACGTTAAAAAAACGCGCCTTTGAGGCATAATGAAAATCTAAAAAAGGTGTTGGGTTTTTATTTGTAAAGAATTTACTGAAAGAGATGTTTGAGTCTTTTTAATGAAGTTAAATCTAGACCGTTCAGGGAATTTTGGAATGGTCTGAAGAAATGAAAATCTGACTGGGCAAGGTCTAACGAATATGAGACGACGCCAAAATATCTCAACTATACTGACTAAGGTTTTATTTCACAGTCATTAGAATGTGTGCTCGAACATGGTCATGTTGCATGACATCACTTCGAAACTGGTCAGTAATAAAGAAGAGATGTACAATTTTTGATATTCTTCGATATTTTTCTTTCAATAAAATTATGAAATGTTTTTAAATATTCTGTTATCCATTAGAAACTTAAAGAAAACTTAGATACAGATTCATTTATTGGATCTAACTACTCCACTTTAAATTCCTTTAATCTTGCATTTCTGAAAAATGCTAAAATTACATAACTGACTACGGCTATTAATATTAGGAAGTACGTAATTATGTTCTTCTCTCAAAAAAGTCTCTTTTATCATTAACATCTCATACGACCAGTTTAATTCATGAAATATTTAGACGAAGATTTATGTTCTCGGAAAAATTTGGTTTTTAACTTTAGGAAACTGCCATTAAATATATCAGATTTGAGGGAGGAAAAAAAACTTATTTTTTTTCTCTTTTAAAACTTAACAATGGAACATCAGTCAAGTTTAATAGAGTAAAATATTTTCAACCTTTCATCTTCTAAATTCATCGCTACTTTCACTCAAAGTGCTCTAATTTGTCGTTTAAGAGGAAGGAAATTTTGTGCGAATAAATTTGTGAGTTAATACAGAAAACTGAGGATGCTATTTTGTAGTTTTATAAGAGCTGGGGAGAGATAATACAGAACTCTCTACACACAACGCTGTTATTGGAAACAGAGTTAAACTGTCATTAGTGTCATCTGCATTTTTCTGCAAGCAAAGAATTTCTTTACGAGTTTTAAGCCAAAGGTGTTCTGTGTGAGTTAAGTTCTTCCTGTGTTTTATGAAATCATGTTTAGTTATTAGATAAAGGACATAGACACGGATTGGTCTTTTGAAATTTAGCAATGCTATCTGCCTCAGAGGAAGAATGTTTTCGCAGAAGACCTTCTAATAAACCTGAATATTATTCACTTTATATCTGTGAAAAATAACAGAAACGTTTTTTGCAACCAGGCCGTTTGCCGGGATTTAAACCCCTTTGGAACTTTTAATGGTGGCATTAGTAGTTCTGGTATGTCTATCCCCGTAACGGAAAGAATTCGTATGAAACTTTTGTTTGTAAGTAAAATATTTTCAATGTTTTATTTATGCACTGATTCACAAAGCGGAAAATAAGCAATCGGGTTTACGGCAGATTCTTAGGAAGATTTGGCAGAGCTCTACACGAACTAAGATCAGAACTCTCAGCGAAATTAAATGCCTTTACTGGATACTTCCTTATTATTGCTACTTTGTATACGGCGTCAATATTATCGATAAATTGCCAACGCAAACCATCTTTAGTTAGTCGGTGGACCTAATGACGATCATTTATAGTTTGTTCATGAGAAGATCTTCCAATAAGCACGTATTATCGTATTTTCTTTTTTACAAAATATGTTATGAAAAATGCTGGATTTAGAGAGAAAATGCTACATACGTTTCTTCAAAGAAAGACTCATTTTATCTCGAATTCCAATATGTGAAAACAGCCATTAAATATTTCCGAAAGCAAACTTGCAAGTGAAGGAAAATGCATACAGTTTTAACAATTAGTTCGATACTTTCAGAATACTGTTTTAACACTGCAGCGATTTATATACTAGTGAGAAGAGGAACTGATACCGATTAAGTGGTGCAAGAAGCAACCAGGCCTTCACGAAATCATAACTATTGGCTAAAACTGTTTTATGTGAACTGTGTATTATCTACATTTAATCTTCCATGCGATGCGATGAGTTGGATTTCTTTACTTAAGATTTACAAAAGTGAGGTTTTAATACCTGAATTTTATTCACCTGTGTAAGTAGATTTTCAGTTTAAAAAAATAGACATAAGTTTTTCAGTAAATTTTTATTATGGTCAAACGATTGTATCGGGGGTCTTATTTACAAATGCATCCAAACAGTATGTCAAAGTTTTCTGAATAATAATGCTACAATATAACATTTCATTATATATATAAACATCGAAATCTTAGACTAATAATCATTTTACAGTCGGTTAGATCACTTTATATAATGTCTCACAAAAATTAGGTATAAGTTCGCGTATAAGAAAGTTTTTCATTTTTGATGCCATTTTATAAAGAAAATAGCTTTTCACTTATATTTAATTACCTTGTAAATTACATAAGCTTAATTTGTTGAAGAGATTCTACCAAAAAGATAATAAAATAGTCCACATAATATATTTCGAGGTAAAAAAATTGCTTTATTTTAATGCAAAGTTAAGAACATGAAATAATTTTAAATATTTTAAAACATTAGTTTGCTTATACAATATTTATTTTTAAAAAGGTATTTTATACAGAAGCAATCATTTTATATTTGGACTAATAAAGGCATTTTAATTTATATATTAATTTCCACTTCAAATAAATTAATATAAGGTTTTTATTACGCTTCGGAAAGCATTTAACCCTCCGAATGCAAGATTTGTGAATATTGCGTTCACTTTTTATCCGGAATATACGTGAGGGAGTTTTTAGCACGTTGGCAGAAACTGGGATTTCAAATGCGGTCAGTTTCACAGAGAAAAAAAAAAGCATAATTTCTTTTTTATTATTTTTTACGCTTATGCGAATCCTATGCCCGCAATTTGAAGAAAATAATGATCATGAAAATTTTAACGAATAACTACCTTAAATAACTGCAAACGGCCATCAAATAATCTTTACACATCATGCAGTAATACTATTATACACACTGTTGAAATGTAAAATTACTCATTTATTATAGCCAAATTCAAAATTATCATTTCTTTACTTGTAGTAGCGTAGAATTTAATACTGCTAAGATGATGTTGCAGTCATAAATATACTCGACATGATCATACTACAAGTAAATACATTACAATGAAAATTTAAGGGCAATGAATGTACGACAAAATAATGCGAAAAGATATCATAAATTCAAATGATATGACTTCTTTAACAGTATTCACAAAGTGAATAATAGTGCCCAAAATCATAGGACAAAGTTTTTTAAGTAATTATTGAAAATGATGTATTTTACCCTCCGTTAAAGCCCGTAGTTTGTGACATTAAACTAATGCTATGCAAAAAGCAGCGAAACCAACGTTCTTCACAATTCTGCCATATGTTCTTGGCCAAAGATTCATCATTTGCAGTGGCCTATCTTCGTGCCATAGGTCATCTGGGATCGCTAAATTATAGAAAGTTATCTTTTGAGCAATTCACATGTGGCAGTTATCGCTCTTGAGAGAGAGTCACAAAATAGCCTAATGGAGTAAGTAACTGATAATTTTAGTGGTGGCATCGTATCTCCCAGGTGGAACCGGTAGCAAAGCGACCAGAACCGGAACCTGTCATGTTCAAAATATTTGTTGCATGGTCCAGTCTTCTTTCACCTACAAAAGAAAGTTATTTTTAATACGAAGGTTGGGCACAGTCTTTCTGACGAAAAAATAAAAAAAATAGACGAAAACGAAGAAAAAATAAATAGATAAATGAATAAAATAACAACCTAGGAGTGAATATTTTTGCATATTTTCACTCCTTTTTCCTTATATTACTTGCTTCCTAATAGAGGAAACTATAAACTTCAAGTTTAGTCACCCTATTAAAATTGTTTGTTTGTGAAATTAAGAGGGCAGTGTTCTGACACAGAAAATGAACTCTATCTTCATGTCAGTGTCAAAAATAAGCGCCGGATTTAGTAAATATAATGATTTTAATAAATATTTGAATTTAGAGCACGTTTTTAAAATTTGTACAGCTGGATTATTTCAAATTCTGTCGGCATTGAAATAATAAAACCCATTTCTAGTAATTCTCCAATTAAATCAAGCCACTTTTTTACCCAAGTATAGTTATAAAATTCCGCTGATAATAGTACGTGCTTAACCATGATCAAAATACAGCAACTGCAAATCTAGGAAGTCCCCAAGTACTCTCTTCGAGGATCACTTACAGTCGGCGGATCATAGATTGAGAAACATTGAATTAAACAATTGGAAACAAAACAAAGGCACATTACTGAGTAAACTAAGCTTCACATTTAATGTACAGCTTCTTTTGGAAACAATTTCCTAAAAAGAAGAGCAGCAAGATAAAATTGCGTGAAGCTAATTTCTTATTATATTTAACAAAAACGCGTCTCCAGAGGCGGAATTAAAGCATAGAACAAATTTCAAAAGAAACAAAAACTTTAAAATATTTAAGTGCTTATTACCATGCAAAACCCATATAGAAAATGAAACAAATAGCATACGAAACCAAGGAAGATATTGTTAAATTAAGAACGGAGGAGAAAAGTTATCCAAGTTATTTAACGCACAGATTACATTGGTACTTGCCTGGGAATTTTAATTCAAATACTCGTATCTATCATCCCCTTAATCCCCCATATTCGGAGTTCTAACTTTTACTTTCTTGCAGGAATTAAATCAAAAAGAAATTCAATTAAGCGGATTTAATTTCTTAAAACTTTCCTTTAACGCGATTTATGGGAAAAGAGACGCAAGAATCGTCGCTTAATTAGTCAGAAAGGAAAACGGCGGCATCGGTAGATTATTCGAATGAAAGTGGTTTTGAAGGAAAAGTGGTATACTGACTCAACTAACTGTAACTGCTTATTTAGGTTATTTTTGTTCCAGAAGTACTTTTATTATGTATGTGCGTATATTTTACAATAGCTTTATACTTTGTGGATAAAACAACTGCACTTTAAGATTTCAGATTTTCTAAAGATGCTGGTAAAATAAAATGTTATAAAATAGTTTTAGTTTTAGAGTTAATCGGATTTTAAGGATACTTGAAAAGTGTGCTTACAATGCTTTGAAAAATGTGGTGCTGAAGGTGCACTGTAGGTGGCAATGTTGCAATACTTCACAGAAGTCTGCTTACCGCCTTCAGGCCGGAACTTGGTTCATACGCCAAACAGAAATCCATCATTGTTTGCATAGCAAACAAAATCACTAGCAAAAGAAAGCTATCATCATGAAGCTTTCATCTAATTGGTTAAACTACCTGCAACAGAAACCTAACAGCAATATTTTGGGTTATGAAAACAGTGAGTGCAATCTATCTTTAAATTGATTACCCAGTTTCTTAGAAAACGTTGCAGCAGGCCCCGAGTTGCCTTATTTGTTTCTGAATCTGACAGGCACTTAATATACGAAGATGAACTTTTTAATCTATGACTGATAAAATGCATGTTAAATGTAGAAAATTATTACATTATAATAGCTAGCGTGTGTTTAATTAAATAACCGTTTTTCAAATTTATATTTTTATCTGAACTACGCAAGAAATTTCAAGACTTCTTACAGTTTCGCAAACAGATTCTGTCAAAATAAGCATGTACCAGTAAATCTTTTTCCTATACTTTTGAAGAAAATTCCTCCGTATACACTACAATTTCGTCCCTTGATGCAAATCTAATTATAGGCAAGGTAACTCATGGTTTATTTCATTAGAACTTTCCTACGAAATATCAAGATTATTAATATTCCTAAAAATGGTTATTACAACCTGTTTAATTTTATCTTCGTTACTAGAGAATAATCTGTTTGAGAAAAGAACAGAAATTAATCTAATTCCATAATCAAATTCCGTTCCATAAATGGTAATTAATTAAATAAGCGTATGTATTTAAAAAGTAGAATGTGCTATTAAATTAATTTGCTGAAGATTACGAATGTTAAAACAAGTTACTAAAGAACAAATTCAGGAGCAAAAAGATAAGTCAGTCATTTTTTATGTTTAAACGGAGAAAGAAAATGCATTTCCCCCCGTTCCACTTTCAAAAGATGAAGAAGGGAAACAGTTTTATCAGTAAAAGAAGGCCTTTTCAGATATCTAAAATGTCAGCAGTTCATTATTTAGTTAATGCATTGTACAATAATTTAAGAGCACTTTCATCTTGTCAGATTCCTTCACCTTAAAGCAATTATATTTAGGATAAATAATTGCAAAATGACTTTAAAGTTACACATTATTTAAAATGACGTAACTTCTTTTTATAACAAATCTACGAAAATTATTTTCATAAATTTATTGCATAGAGCAATGGTCTCAGCTCTCGGCCCCCGAAGGAATTTTATAAGACACAAGAATATATTTCTATTATGTATATTTTTGCACATGTAGCAAAGATTTCAAGATTTTAATTATTGGAAATTCGAATTTATATTATTTTCATTTCCATTAAAATTCAACATAAATAATGTAGCACAAAAATCTAGAAGTGAAGCTAAATTAATTTACATTATGATATAAATATTTTTCAAAGTTTTTTTAACTTAATGAAAATACAGATTTTATTCACTTATTGATTATTGTTTGGGAATACATTTATATATGAACAGCATTTGTTTCACAATTAAAAACTAATATGAAAGAATCTGATTGACCGATAAGCATCTTCAATCCGAGAAGAAAATAAATTGCAATAATTTATCTCCAAGGCTGCAAACTATTATAATTTGTTCTTAAGTTTTGTCCCACTAGGTAAATTCTCATTGAAAATTTGAAAGTTTTCACAATATGTTTGTTTTTAGTTTAAATTAAAGCATTATTCAATGGTTAATTAAAACATGTTTGAATTATTTGAAAGAAATATCAGTTCAATAACTTAATATTTAGCTGTCGATATATTTGAATTACAAAGTGAAACCAACAAAAACTCTTATAGGTACCAATTTTTAGATTTCAGATAGAAAATAAATATAAATTTGTGTTCCTTTAAATTACGATAATATTATTATCATTCATTTATATGTTTTGATAAATATTTAGTTAGCAAAATTTAAAATTTATTTAAAATATATTTTATTTTTTAATGAAATTTTTCAATGTGTTTAAAAACGTCATTCTGGCCCGTCACCTTTTTCAAATCGAGCCAGCATGCAATTTGATTTTGAGACCACTGACATAGAGAATTGTAATTTACACTTACAGAGAGAATCACATATTATCCTCCAAAGGTATGCCAGGACTTACCAACGTTCTCTCTAATTAAATATAGGTAATGATCCTTCAAACAATCCCCCGTTTTCTTAGATCCCATAAGACATCTGTGACGCATGACAATGGGTTCTGACGTTGTCCTGCGAAGAAATCAAAACTTTAATCTTATTAAATTGAAATTGCTCTGTTTATGAAAATAATTGGCTCAAATTTGATTTAAATATTATTTTTATTTTTACAAATCAATAATAGTATTTTATTCTCATAGATACAAAATTAGGACCTCAAGAGAAATCAAATACAGTTTAAAAACGACACGAAGCTGTTAAAAATTCGGTTATGATTAAATAAGAAAATAACGTAAAAATATTATAAAACGTTAGTTAGAATAATATAATCAGCAGTTAAACATTGAAGATTTTCAGTACTCAGCTACAGCAATCAAATATTTTTTGGAAACAATGTATTGTAACAAAGCTTACATGATATGAGCAGGATAGGATATCTGAACTAAATAGAAACTAACAGCTAACATATCTATACCGTAAGTGTTGTGACTGATATTTCTGATTTGAATATATTTATATCAGATCCACAAATCTATCATGGCCAAGAACGCAAGGATAGCGGGGATCGTTGGCCAAGCCCTTGGGCACCTGACTAAATGACAATGTGGCTTCGCCCAGTACTCTACCAGTTCTGTTGCAGAACAACCGAGGATAGTTTCACGTTCTCAGACCTCTCTTTCCTTACCAGCGGTCTCTGAAGAAAACTGTCGGGCTGACAGTACTTTGGGTGTTCTCATGCCTCAAAGTCACTATACATTTACAAACTTGTATACCTTCTACAGGATTCGAACCTAAAATCCAACGCTACGGCAATCGCCACCATTCTGAACAGGTTAGCGCAACGTAAGCAAAATAACGTAGTGCAAAATGGATGAAGACAGAAATGGAATATTTCCTACTCTTTTAAGTAAAGTTAATTTGCTTATTACTTTTATATACAGCTGTCAATTGAGGTTGTAACTCTCATCTTCTCTACTCGTCAGATGGTCTTGAATGTAACGGCCTATCTAAGGTACGTAAATATCGAGGTAAGTTATCGCCAACACCAAAATAAACTATTTACAGCGCAAATGAATTAATAATTTTTAAACATTTATTTGAATCATAACTTGGGTTCTGACTAAACGTAATATGCAACATAAAAGCTTGAAGATTTTATTCTCTTATCAATAAATGCAAACTAGTCTAAAAGAGCTAACAATTCATAATTTTTACTACTAAATCAATTAGATGTCTGAAAGTCACTTTAATCTCTTAAATTAATCTTCAATTTCATCTTCCCAAAACGAACTATCCGATTCTGATTGCCTAGTAATGCAGGAATGCATTTTTACCAGAAATAGTCACATTTCGGCAATGTACGTTAGCAGTACATTGCCGAATACAATGCACCATAAATTTTAGTTAACAGAAATCTTATTCTTGCTTAACTGAAAACTGCGTAACTTGTGACTTGGCTCTCAGTTCATTTTTTGGATGACAGTGCTCAGCCACACAGTAGATATTTTTCTAGAAAGTGAGAACATAACCGGATGGATCAGTTTGCAAATCTATATCCTACAGACCATATTCGGGACGGTTTTGGAAAGGCAACTGCAGCTTGCCTGTCTCCTTCAATAATCTTCCAGTTTCTGAAAACTGCATTGCCGTAAGTGTAGGATTGAATTCCAGAGTAATTCATAAACCCCTCATGTCTAGTTTTATGTCATTTTGTTAGAACTATAATATAACAGTTAGAGGGAGCCCTGTCTTCTAATAACATCTCTTTTTTGTTTGATTTTTCAACTTTTTTTTAGATCTCCCTGCTCTGATGATCCTTGGCTTGATCACGTGTGTACTACGATAATACTTTTTTTCCTTTATATATCATATTTAATTAAATTCTGTTCATTATTAAGATAGTTTATCAAATGTGGAAAATTGTGTTAATTTTTAACATTACTGTATTTAATACTATAATACCACTAAATTTTAGAAATTTCCTAAGATAAGAACAGTTTACTAAATTCATAAATATATTGTAGAATATAAAATTAAGTAAAATATAATCTTAAATTAACTTTAAAGAAATGTTTTATGAATTTAAATATCATCTAACAAAGGGTCCACTTCAATATAGATAGATACACTATATAATAGCTACTTTGCCACTAATATATTTCACTTTGTTCAATGAAGTAAAAACTATTTCCTACAGCTCCACGCAAGGTATACTGTCTTCTAAATAACATAGATCTAAGCTTGAATTAATTCAGATTAATGTGCTTTACTTCCATCTGTTATTATCTTAAACACGCAAATTATTTATAATATTTAGCAAGAAAGATTTTTCAATTAAGTTTCAGAACACAATTTAAGTGCAAACCTTACAAAGTCTTAAACATAGCTGATAATTAATTAACTATAACTAACACATAATAAATGAAAATGAAGGGAACTTGAAGCTTTAATTTTAATAAACAAAGAAAGAAGAAAGATTGAGTATGAAGTTGAGTTCCATGGCGTCATAAACATCATTTATTAATTAAAACAAGAGCGCGAATGTTAATAATTCTCAATAAGATTTGCGTTATAATTAAATGAATTTTACATTATACCGTTTAAATATATTATTTAAAATTAAGATTTAAATTATTATGAAAGGAATTTATTGCTTTTAAGCTCTTCACCTTTTAGGGAATTATAATTTGAAAGGTAAAGGTTCTTTAACATCGAAAAGCAACACTTTAGGAACTGATTATTTTTCAGACCGTGTAAAAAAATAAATCATAAATTTTTATGTCTCGCCTAGTGGAAATATTTGTCTGATCGCATGGATAATAAATGGCCTAAAAATTTGGATTTTTGTAGATGTTTCTATATATGGTATGGTGTTGGGGTATTTAATTAAGACAGAATACATGATGGATAAGTCCGTGGATAAGTACTGGATAAGTCCGTGGAGGATATACTAAAAGAAACTTGTTATAGTCACGTTGCATTTAGGAAGACAACAAGAATGATAATACGGCCAATTTGTTCATCGGAATTCAAGTCAAGAATTCGGGGTTCCAGGTCAAAATGCCAGTATAGAGCGATCTCACCCACCTAGCCACTATACTATAGTGGATCATAAATATATTTATATATCTTAGCGCAGATGTTTTTAATTACATGTCCTTGAGATACTATAATCAGTTAAACATAAATATGTTTGAAAACAAATACACCTTTAATAAATGAAGGTATTCATTAAACACAAATTTAGTGAAAGGGAAAAAAAAAAAACTCCCGGTAGTAAAAACTACAAGGAAATGCATCAAAATGAGACACCAAAACTATATTAGGACTAGAATGTATCTTCGCTTGCTGAGATGTTAACAACACACACACACACACACACACACACACAAAAAAAAAAAAAAAAATAATAATAAGTTATGTTTCAGGTTTGCCATAGGGATAACAGGTTGGCTCTGTAGCTGTTTCCGAGATTTCCCAGTGTGTTGCGTAATTACAAAAAAAGTTTCCTCTTAGAAAGCACTCTAAAAGTCTAAGTTTTTATGACACTATGGCAGGAGAGTTTCTTATGCATACAATCATCAAACGTTTTGGAATAGCTAATTAACCAAACCTAAATTTAACAGAAAGTGGATACAAAAAGCTAAAAGTTAGAAAAATAATATCATTTGTTTTTGTTTCCCCTTTTTCAACAGATGGAACTACTTATATTTCCCTTTAATTTTTTAGTTGACAATAATGAAACACTTTCCACAACCTTCTTTGTAATTTCCTACACGGTTTCCAACCATGTTTGCTTATCAGTTGTTTTATAGCTGAGTTTTTCACTGGGGAAACACTTTAGCCTTTGTAATATTTTATTATGACTGTGAATAAATCGTTGTTAATTTGTAACGCTTGTGAAGTTTTTATAAGCAGGAAATAAGGAAATTCAGCTATACTTTCGTTTTACTTCGAGGTACTGATCTTCCAGCTGCTCTTTGATTACGCTAACCACTCACACCATGAGAGCACTCAGGAAGGAACGTAGCAATTTGTTGCATTTTCTCCCACTAAAATAATGATTGGGAGCAACACGGAACCCAGTCGACCAAACTGCGATGGTAACCACATGTCTTGTGCCCCATGTCGCTGCTGCAGACTTTTGGAGTTGTTTTCTGTTTTCCTTTCTTCTTAGCATGAATCATAAATAATCAATCATAACTTTATTTTCAGTTTCCAGCTGAACGTGTTTATTCACTTTCACTACGATGATGTCATAGTTGAATACGATAACTCCTCACAAATTTATTTACTTTCATAAGAGAAAGATCCACAATAATAGACCTGAAAGAATAACTTGCTTATCTTCAGTTTTTTAATCATGTTCTGAAGTTACCTAATCTACTAGAATCTTTAAAATGAAGCCAAAAACATAATTAATGGCTAAAATCCATGAATATACATAATAAATGCTGTGTTCGATGCTAAGGGAGATTAGCCCTTTGTTACGCCATGTCCACTCTAGTAGACAAAAGTTTAAATTGTTTTACTCTTCTGAAATGCCTTAACAGATTCCATTCCTGTGTTTATTTATTCTATATCATTAGAACTTTCAACTATTGATAGCATCACTAAGTAAAGCATTGCTATTTATAAAATGGCTGCTACTTTTGTGTCCAGGTTAATACGATTTTCTCATAGTAAACAATATATAATATTGACAATATATAATATTGATTACAGTTTATTATACTGGCATTTTTATTCATAATTATTAATTTTAGACATATTATTTTAAATGTGAGTTCGAAAACATTGTTCAGAAGGTAATTTTATTGAAAAAAAGAGGTCATTTTTCTTTTATCCACTACAGCAGACGTCATGAATAAGAGCTAATTTAACTCTACTGTAATGGACAATATGAACGAAATCTTACGCTTTTTATGACACTATGGCAGGAGAAATTTTGAAAAAATTTTAAGTTTTAAACAGAGGGGGGGATTTCTTGGCTGAAACAATTTATTTTAAATAATTAATTTGATTTAAGCATGCTATTAATTAATTAGATATTAAAACAAAGTTATATCTAATTTTATATTTTATTATAAATTTGAAACGGAAAATTTTTGACCGAAGATGAAATTGAGAAGATCATGAACAAGGATTTTCCGATTAGCAGAGAAGATAAAGATTTGGAAAGTGGTGATGAGGAAGAGGAATACATACCGACATCCCTCCTTGATGACTCTGATGACGAGCCAGAAAATGGAGAAACACAAATTTTACTTGTAACATCAATTGCGCAAAATAAGAAATCTTGTTTGCAGGAGAAAAAGAAAATTCCTTGGGAATGGACAGATAAAGATCTTCCTCAACACTCCACCGAAAATAGTGAATTGCAATAAGCAACTTATTAAGACTGTATAAAGATATTAAGAATTCTTTATCGCATTATAGATAAAATTATAAGTATCAAATTTTTATTTTCTGCTCTTGAACACGTTGAAAGTTTAATTTCTTTAATTGACATTACACAAAACCAAGAATATGTGCTACATATTCTGCTATGAAACACAGATTAAGTTTTAAAGCAAAGGGATTACTCTGTTCTTAAATGTAAAATGCTAGAAAGACTAAAGAACTTTCAACTATTAAGGAAATGGCCTGATTAAAAGGCTGTAACCTGAAGAGAAAGCTAATTATACCTGGGCCTCTGTAGGAAAGCCCTATTCTCTTGTTGGTCTGCTAAAGAGGAAAAGGGATGTCGAGGATCTGCTATTTTTTCCAGAGCTTCTGCAGCTCGTTCTACGACTTGTCCAGCTGTTGTCTTTTCTGTGATTGGAATTGCGATGCTATTTGGATGACGCAAGGATGGCATCTGGACACGGATTATGGAGCCAGTGTGGAGTGAATCCTGAAATGTAAGTTGTCTTTACAGTAAAAGTGTATCGCATAATGACTATTTGTTCTAACTTAGTTTGCTTAATACTATTAAAACTTCAGTTTTAAAGACTTAAGTGTCTACGATTTTTTGCTGATTTATTAAAGGTACAGTTCTTAGTTCAATAATAAATAACATAAGATCAACATTAATGGAAATTTTAAAATCATGGTTAAAAAAAATTGTTATATCATAGATTTTTTATTAAGATTCTATCTACTATATCGAGAACGATCAGACATAGGTTATTTTCCTCAAAAGCAAAAATGGTTCCAAATTTAGCTTTATGCTGTTAGATACCGTACAGATGGTACGACGTGTTCCGGTTTTGTTGGAGTAGCGCTCAAATGGTGCTTGATGATAAGGTTTTCCTGACACATGGTTCTCCAGGGAGAATGGCAAAGTAGATGCAAAAGGGGACCGCAAAACAGCACACACCTGAGAGATCGTTGCGTCATCTTGAGTTGAATAAGTTATAGTAACAATAATAGATATATACAATAACAACAGCTATATACAAGTGCAGTTTCAAGTATGTATGAGATGGAAGTGACGTCTTTGCAGAAATCAGACGTCCGACAATAGTTAAAAGTCTCTAAATTCGTGAACAGTAATACAAAAGGACCTATCAAAATGTTGCAAAAAAAATGAATTCCAAGTCGTGGCGCATTTAAAAGTTCCCAAAGGCATTATTGAGGGAAAATGTCAATCACTCAAATGAGTACATAATTTCCTGCTTGCAGGCATCATATTGGCTTAGGAGTTGCAGAACAAAATGTAAGAAAACAATTCATGAAGGGTAGTAAAATATATTGTAGATTCTGGTTAAAAATGTGAGCTGCTACTCGCTAAAGGCCTCAAGAAGTTAAGGCCTCGTTAAACATTTCATAATGGAATATGACAAAGTACGAAAAATTGTCACAGTTTTTTTACATTGACGAAAAAATGTTCATTTGCTTTATTAAGGTAGTCTTTCACGTATTCGATTTCAGGTGCTTGTGAAGTCTCTCATTGCTGAAGAAATAACGTGCATTCGCCATATATCTTAGAAACTTATACTGGGTAATCTGAAGCTGCTTGATGTCATTATTTTAATAAAAATATAGAAGAAGGAAACTCATTTTATACGGAACTCAATCTACAAAACAAAGCAGAACCTATACATATACTATATACAAGTGCAATTTCGTGTATGGATGAGATGGGAGTGACGTCATTACACGTCCATCTCATACAAGTACTCTGTACACACTTTTATTGTTCCATTTGAAAAGAAAGTAAAAGATGATACATAAACGTTAACTATTAACTAAAAATGTTAAAATGCACTATCGCATTTTTATTATTCGATTTTTTATGTATGAATACAAAAAATAAATGAGAGAATTTTCAAAATTAGACTTGCTTTTGGAGCTAATAAAAGTAATGAAAAGGAAGGTGCAAAACTATAGATATAACAGTCACATATACAAAATTTCAACGTTCTATGCAGCACACATACAGTACGTGCAGACGTCCCGAAAAACGTCTACCAATTTTACAATTTGTTTTGGAATATAAAGAGTCCTTTATTCTGTCCGTATGTACAAGCGTCACGAGAAAAAAAAAATTTAAAAAACGTCAACATTGATTCGTAAGGGGTCAAAATGGGTATTTTCCGTTGAAATCTGAGACCCAAACTTTTCTCAATTACTACACTTCCTTTTATTTTGTACAAGGAATTGAAAAGGTATGAATCCAACACATTAAAGTATTAAACATATTTTGATTTATTTTCAAAATACCTTATCCTTCGTTGTGACGTGCGTTCATAATACATTTTTCGATTTAACTGGTGGCATAATAAGACTTAATTCCACTTTTCATAATCCAATATGTGATTGACTGACTGTTAACCGAATTGTATTAACCGAGTTTTGATAGAAATTCATTGTAAAAACAATTTAAAAGCTTCGATAATGGTAGGGTTAATTAGCATTAAATTATGCGAGAACTGTATGAAAACAACTTTGCTTCATCGGGCAAATGACGTTGCTGAGTTTAGCCAGCAATTAGAGACAGTTGTTAATGAAATTGCTGCTGTTAGAATGAATTAGTCATCAATGAAGTTTCGACAAATGTGTAAGAATTATTGAACTAACACCGTAAAGAGTTTAAAGATAACGATCTCGCTGATCGATCAAGGGGCAGTTTTGGAAAATGCTGAAGAGTTGAGATGACAAATTTATGAGCTCCGGTTCAAACTTTGAAAGACGCAAGATTAGCTCACCCAATGACTGATAATTGCAAAAACAAAACGTACGAAGAGAAAAAGGAACAGGAAAACTCGAAATGATTTAATTAGCATGGTGCAGATTCAAGGTCTCAAGCATATGCCATTTTAATGATTTTCTTTCCTGATGAATAATATGTAGCTGCCGGTACCTTCATTATTTTCAGTAAAATCACGCAGCATATTTTATCACAATAAAATAATTCATCGTAAAGTAAAATTATGAAATTTCAAACATGTTTCCCAAATTGGGACTTTATTCATTTATTAGCAGCAATATTTTTACCCATACCAATTAAAGACGTGCGATAATGTTCATAAAAAAATTATTTTGCTCTTGTAGTTTATTTTCAAATTACAGTGGTTAGTTTCACTCAAGTTTAATTTTGTATTGTAAGATTTTTTTTTTTTTTTTTTAACAAACACGTTATTTTCATGTTAGTTTTTTCTGTACAATCTATTTCGCCCATCAGTCGTCACTAGAATGGAAATTAGATTAATTTTAATTATTAGGTTATTATTATTAATATGAATATTGAGGCGCAAAATCAACCAGTAAACATGTTTACTGCAGCCATTTTCTTGGATTTGAAAACGTATACACGTTTGTGCCACATGATGGTTTCTGAGATTATAATGATCCTTCGACTTAAAATATCAATACATAAGCCATATGAACTGGAAAAACTGTCAATTCATTTTATGCTACGATACAGCTTAAAATGCAAATGCGTTCTCAGAAATATGCAAAGCTAATATAACACACATCTTAAAACCCAAAGCACTTACATATGAAATCCTTCCTCGGCACTATTGCAGTTTAAATAAATAGCACGCCTTACTAAGGAAAAACTGCAGAAAAAGTTTTCCACTTCTTATATTGTTAGCCATTCAACAATACACGAAAATCCTATCGCATATTTGGATATCAGAATAATCTGTCAGCGCAACAAGCGGCAACTGCAATTGACGTAAGTGCTCCAATACATTTATGTATTCTCTTTCTGACTGTTTCGACGTCATTTTTTCGAAGGCAGGATGAAACAACAGAGCCATGTTACTCTGAAATGCATTTGCATTTACAGCTGGTGTCAGTGGAGATCATAAAAGATATGACGATGAAGAAACAGAAAAGGACGGAAAAGAGTTGAATCCAGATTTTCCTGTGGGATTTCGTGAGCCATGGATTCTTTCCCCCTGTCTGTTTTGAATTACGAACCGCGTTCAAGATATCCGGAAAGCTTTTCTGCTGGCGTGTTCTCAGTGATTTCTTTTCCTTAAACTAATTCCCCTAGGAGAAGGATTCCGTCAAGCTTTATTCAGAAATTTTAGAGAGAAAATGGCGCATGCCGTTAGTGCTTCGAAGTTATCACGGAAAATATTCCGTCGACGTTGTTTTCATGTTCAGTCGATAACAGGATAAATATCACAAAACAAGGTCCATATCTATCTACATATATAAAGAAGTGTCCATTCATTTGTGTGTGTATGTGTGTAATTCAAACAATCTGCAATTTCCTTTCGATTTTGATGAAATTTTGGGCACTTCGTCTTCGAAACAAAAGGAAGGTCACTGTCTACATGAGATTTTAGAGAATTACACCATGTGAGTCACGTTCAGGGTGTTTGTATTAGTCGCCATTAAATGGACCGTAATGGCTTCCATTGTTCCACTGAGTTGCTCATATGAACAATGAATAGATTTGAATTCCAATAATTGACTGAATAAATTTTTCATATGATTGTCATATTCCATATCCATTGATGTTCAGTTCAGTGAACAATGCAATGTGGAACAGATGTGTAATGATGAATATGCTCATATGGAAATGGATGGCCATGTTAAATGAACTGTTCAAATAAACAAATTGTGCTCCGTTGAATTTATTTAAATTCCATTGACTGAATGAAGAGATGAACATTCCAGTCCATTGAATGAATGTCTATCAATGTCCATCCAACTAATGGCCCATTGAATGGAATAATTCAATGGAACATTGGACGTCATACAATGGAACAGTTCAGAAAGCACCATTTTGTTGTGAATGCATTTTCATATGAACAATTCAATCAGTTCGTTGTTCCAATGTTTCTTACTAAATGAATAATAATGTTGAAGTAGTTTTGCAATAAAGACAGTCAACACATTTAGCTCATTCAGGAAATAGCTAAGTGGTAATTGCAAGCTACACAGTAGCATTACTTTTCGGTTAACGAAACGTCAGTCACCATCATGCGCCAAAGCGCCAAATGTTGTAAATTATCGAACAATCGCGAATATTTATGCAATGATGTCATTGCAAATTAGCACAAAGCATGAACGCTGCTTCAGTAATTTACTATCCGAGATTTTCAGTTGGTTTCTTGTTGAACCACTGACTTTTAAGGAAGAGTCCCACCGACGTGTTAAGAAAGCAACAATAGGGAATTAAAATTTGGCTACTGCCAAAAAGATAAATAAACCGTGACTGAATACTTTCTTAGCAAACCTTATTGAAAGACGGAATTAGAGAAACAAAAATTAAAATTGCATTTTGCTGCTTCCTTTTTTTTCCTTTCCTGAATTTTTGCTAAGCACAAAAATAGCGCTGCAACGAAGGGACGTATCGCAAGAAAAAATGTTTAGGAAGCAAAAACGAGTTCAAAGGTTCGAATGTTCCTCTTCTTGCAATTCTTGACCTGATGTCTGATTTACTTCTGGTATCACAGAGGTATGATTTTAGCACTTCCGTCTGAAAATGAATCATTGTACAACATTCAAATATGATAATTACATGCGAATTTCTAACATTTATCTGTGTCTTGTATTTATTATGAGCGTAATAAAAGAGTCATAGCTCCAGGCCATTAAAAATAATAATAATAAAAGAGTCTTTTCATTAAACTATTTATGTCCTTGGGTTTCCATTTTGATCTCTAGTGAGACTAATATTATATCTATAGCTGCATATTTTACTAGAACTTTATCATTTCTAGCCAGCAGCATTCCTTATATCAATACAAATATAACGCTCTATTTTACTAGAACACTATATTTGTATTGATATAAGGAATGCTGATCTTTATACTTCATAGATAACCAGGAGGTTGCACGATGCAATTGTAGCAATTAAATCATAGTAATTATAATGTGATCGCACAGTTCAATCTACTAAGCTTACAATATTTTGGTTTAACACTATAATCAGTACATTTTAATAAACGCTTATTTTGCTTTATCTTTTTCAGTATTCCTATTCCTGCCAATAGCGAATTAGTTAATGAAAGTGACTATGCTGTTTTTAAACTGTCAATGCAAGGACGGTATCTCATATATTTTCAAATCATAGATTAAAAGCTGTTCAGTTGTCAAGAAAAATTAAATGTAAAACTCGCTTGAACTCCAGTACGGTTTAGTTTAAGAGAAATAGAGCGAATAAATGCGTCTAAATTAAAATGTTCTTGTTTTTCCAGGAAGTAATTAGAACCGTTTCATAAAAGGAATCTTCAGATTTAGTTACCTGCCTTCTTTTTATTGTTCCTGTGACCTCAGAATCACGTGAGTGCACGTCTTGAAGTCTGTTAGCAATATAATCACTAATCAGCTAAAACAAAGATTTTCTGGGGTTTGAATATGGAGAAACATGCTTCATTACTTTTGTACAGCATTGTTTTAGCAAACAATATGACAAAACTCTGCCTCGAATTTAGATTGGCCTTTCAGTTAAGATGGGCCAGGACATGACTGTGGCATGCCGACCACTAAGAAGACGTCTGGGTTTAGCACCATGTGACTGCTTCTTGTGGAGATATAACAAGGAGAGAGTTTTTGTTCTTCCCCTGCCTACAAGTTGTATGACCTTAAACGACGCTTTCTTTTCAACGGTTGCTGCAGTTGTTGACAATGACATGCTCTCCATGTCAACAACTTGAACTTTATTATCTGACACTTAAGAAAAGGGTCACATATATAACATTTGTAACTTAATCATGTAAAGTTTTATACATACTTGCAATGCAAGCATTTCACCCTTGCTATAAAAACTTTTTATTAAACCTAAAATATTATTAAAACCTAAAATATGTTTGTCTTGTACGATAACCTCATATATAAGATGCTGTAAAACCTGCAAAGTTATTCGTATTGCTTAAAAATAGACTGCAAATTTGTGAATCATAAAAGAGTTTATGCATAGTAACAAAAATAAAAAAATATCTTACATCTTTAGCATTTTTCTGCTTGTCTCCCTTTTGTTTTCTTCCCGCTCTTTTTGCCTGAAACAACGGTACAGAATATTAGGAAATGAACAAAAAACAACAGTAGATGTACAGTTTTTACTTTTCATGAACCATCATTTATAAACTTTACGAAGCATATCTTCAATAAATAAAAAACGAATTACCCATAACAACATCCATACTCCTTCTAAAAACCCAGAGATTATCAATCAAGCTTCCATTTTCCAAACAAGCCATTTATCATTTGATAATAAGCTTCGTAACAGATTTTGTTTCTTATATCTACACAAGAAATGATTTTTTTTCCCTTTTGCTTTGTATATAGATAAGAAAAAAATGGAAACGAAACACAAAAAAAAAAAAAAAAAAAAAACGAACAAGAGACTAAAATATCCACTCTCCATCAAAATAAAACTCACTTTATTACATTAACGGGAATTTCAATACTGAAGAGTGTATTTTTCAGAATAATCCTCTTCTTTTTAATGAGGCGCAAAGCAAGCAATGATTCAAGTGAGGCGTGAACTTAAACAAAATCATGAAAAATCGCATTAAGCTAGAGTTCCGAAAGAGCAGCTTTCAGTCAAAAGAATATTTAAAGCTTCTATATATCGAGATCTTGTTTGTCTGTCAATTATGTATCTTAAAAAAACTTTGACGTCGCAAAGGATATTATAAAACACGCACATACATACATAAACAATACAAAAAAGTTAACATAATCTTAAAGGTTTTTAGATGACATAAAAAATAATAATCCGTTGCATATTAATGGAATTTTTGTGCCTCTGTTCCAGAGTTTGAGAACTAAAATGACAAGCGTTTCAAAGAGAAAAAACAGGACACACAGAGTGTGTTTGTTCACAAGCTTACGTGTTTGTTCGAGGTTCTTCTGTTCTGGAGTCGAGCTTGAGCGAGAAGTTCGGGTGGAACCTGAAAAATAAAAGATATTTAATTTACGGAGAAGTTTTCTGATTAATGTTAGAATATACCAAAATATGATTGCATGCAAATTATGATGATTTTCACCATTTTTCTATAGCACAGGATCTAAATTTTTTCCATATAAAAATATTTCTAATATGTTCTCACCCCTCTAAAGCAGTTTCTAAAAAAGTTCTATAATAAATTTTAATAATGAATGAAACTGAAACAACTAAATACAAAAATTTTACGAAAATTGATATTTGCATAAATCTTATTAAAATAAATTAATTACTTAAAAATTAATTACTTTTTGGCTTTTGTTTATTAGATAAGAGTTTTTCAAATCGTGACACATTTTTGTTAATAAAAGTTCACATATCTGCTTGTGCATCCGAGAAATTTCTTTATTATTATTATTATTATTATTATTATTATTATTAACGTGGCAATTCGGATGAGCGCAGTCAGTGCTTTTTCACTTAATTTTAGGAACATATTCATTGTCGAACACCAATATCGTTCCAAAGTAATGCTTTCAAACTGCATTTCAAGAACACGATTTGTGCGCAATTTTAAAAGATCTTCCATTCATTCTTCGTCATCTGACATATTATCCAAATTGAGAGAATATGAGTTTATAATGTATGTTTCCAAAGTTTTTCACAGCTTCTTCTTTAAAATCCCCATCAAATGTTTTTGATATTTTACAAAATCCACAATTTGTTCACATATTTTACGTACTACACTAACATTAACAACATGCATGGCAAATCTGTTATCGATGCTTGCACAGGAAGTACGTTTCGCACGCGCATCATTGTCGTGTGTGTAATTTTTAAACTATCATTTAATTTACTTTAAATAAAAAAAATGAAAATACACTCTTAGACAAAAATAAAAATAAAAAAAAAAAAACGGCGCACCAAGAAGGAGTTATCCGAATGGGACGAAAACGGTAGAAGTGATGTACATGTACAGAAAAACAAATGATTACAGTTTGAGAAAATTGGATGATTTATTGAAGTGATAGAGCTTCACGAAGTGAAAAAGTCAGTAACGCATTTGTCCACATCTGGCCATTATGCAAGCAGTTATTCGGCTTGGTATCCATGGATAGAGGTTGCGGGTGTCCACCTGAGGGATATTGTGCCAAATTCTGTCCAACTGGCGCGTTGGATCGTCAACATCCCGAGCTGGTTGGAGGGCCCTGCCCATAATGCTTCAAACGCGCTCAATAGGAGAGAGATCCGGCGACCTTGCTGGCCAAGGTAATGTTCGGCAAGCACTAAGGCAAGCAGTAGAAACATGTGCAGTGAGGAGGCGAGCATTATCTTTCTGAAATGTAAGCCCGGGGTGGCGTGACATGAAGGGCAAAACAATGAGCCTTAGAAATTCGTCGACGTACCGCTGTGCTGTAAGATTGCGACGGATGACAGCCAAAGGAGTCCTACTATGAAATGAAATGGCACCTCACAAAAAAACATCACTCCTGGTTGTCGGCTCTGCCTGTTGCAGAAGACATCGGTTGGTATCACACCGCTGTCCGGGGCGTCTCCAGACAAGCCTTCGCTGGTCATCGAGGCTCAGCTCAAAGCGGGACCCATCACTGAATGCTATTCTACTCCAGTCAGTGACATTCCAGTGCGAATGAGCCCGACACCACTGCAGACGGGCTTTACGTTGTACAGAAGTCCATGGTAGTCGGCGCAAGGGGCGCCGTGACCTCAGCCCCCTTCCTTTCTGTGAGCCGTCTATGAATGGTCCTTGCGGTCACTGAAGCACTAGTTGCACGTACAATCGATGAAATGATTCTATGAGGCTTGTGATTGCCGCTCTGACGATTGCTGGTCTTTTACTTTCTGTCTTTCTTCTCTAGGCCTACCGCTTCCTTCTTGAAGCTGTGTGCGGCCATGGTACCCATTCCTGGCAACATTGTCTAATAGTGGCATCGCTCCTGCTCAATGCGAGCTATTCGCCGATAAGACCAACTGGCTTCTTCTCTCCTACACGACCTCTCTCAAATTGTGACATCTGCGCATATCATTCGCGCACCTGTATGCGAGGCATAGTTACTGTCTACCAGAGTACACGGAATGAAATTCGTGAAGAATTTATGAATTGGAATTGGAATTTCTCTTCTTAAATATCCTGCCAGTTGCGCAGATCAGATGCACTGTAGCGACAACCGTTCATTCATTGGCAGCCAAAATGTAAAATTTTGCAGTTTCCGTCGAAATCTGTATGCCAATTTGTGTCCAGTTTCTTTTATATCTTCTCGGTGCGTCGTGGTGCGTCTTTGTTTTTTTTTTCGTCTAACTGTGTATTATTCTTTACTCCCTAGAATGCTACATCCAACCCCTAGCTCAGAATCTCTTATTTTAGAGACAAGTAATTTAGAATAAAAGACGTAACTATTATGCACGCACATAATGAGTACAGAAGACGTTACAAAGAGGGCAAGAAAAAATGTGTAAGACAGAAAGTGTGAAAAGAGGATAATACAGAATGTGAGTGAAAGAGATATTTGATGAAACGTAAGAGAAAAATACAAGTAATAAAACAATCGGATTTTTTGCTTATAAGGTAATACACGCAAATAATTTTCTCTGGAAAAATATATACGCCAACTTGATATTTCCAATGACAAAATGTTTCTTCTGTCATCAGTTTATTTCTGTTGTGGTGATATTAGTTGCAGGGCGGGGACAGCGCCCGAGAAGTCATTGTAAGCCGTCCGGGTGTCAGGTCCCGCTGTCACCTGAGGTAGGTGAAATTAAGCTGCCCATCTGGTATAGTGGTTAGTGAGCTGACTACTGTACCCGTGGGCCTGGGTTCGAATCCCGCAGAAGGTATGGATATTTGTTAGCGTATAATTCATGCGCGGCAAGAAGCCACTCAAAATACACGGGGAGCCGGAAGTCCTCTCGAGTGGTTAGTGGTATGGGGATAAGGCATTAAAGGCCTCCCAAAGAGGCCTGCCTCAAAATTGTGGCGGAACTGCACAGTTATGCTGTGGTATTACACCTGCATGACCAATGGTAAAATACTGGTGTTTTGCCAACTTCTATTTGTACTTGTGTTCAAAGCAGTGCGCCGGTTGGTATAGTGGTTAATGACTCTGATTTTCCCTGGGGGGGGGACTCGAACCTCAGAAGAAGTGTGGGTATTTGTGTGGCATGGTGCACACAAAATACTGACAAGCCAAACGTATTCCTCGTCAGGTTTAATGGTAGGAAAAGAGGGGTGGATATCCTCGGATCAGTTCCTTAGAGCTGATCCTACATCAAAACTGAGATGAGGTATACAGTAAGAGAGATAGGACTGTAAAACCATTGGTGATGTTCTGGTGCTGCACGGATATTTCCTGTTATGTGGTAACTATCTTCTAAACAATAAGAATTCACAAAATAAAATTATGCATGTTAAGAATATTTATTGACAGCATTTACTTTGAAAATAAGAACATTGGCATAAGGGATACGGACGCAACGTTTAATGTAATAGTGACCGCCAATAGGCAACTTTGATACATATGTTTCTGTAGAAAATTATTTGGCCCGTGATCAGGAAAGATCTGAGCAAGGGGGAGAGAGATATATATAAAACATCAAAGTGGCTTAAATAAGATACAAGAATACTAACTAAATCAAGATATAGGTATTTAAGAAAGAAGAAAAAAGAAAGGAGAAGGAGATAAAGATGAAGAAAAGAAAATAGAGAGGCAGAATAGAGAAGAACAGGAAAAGGATAAAATAAAGTATAAATTAGATCGGTAGAAAAGAGAGAGGAAAAAAAACGCAAAGGCAGTGTACTCTTGTCACGGTATTTAATTCAAGACACTCATTTATTTATGAATATGTTATAGCCAAAGCTTTGAGAGTGGCCAGTTTTCGGGCAAGCTGGTTAGCTGCTGTTATCAAAACTTGAAGTAAACGACAGATTAGGAGATTTAAACGGTCACTTCTAGAGTGGAAAATTTAACAAGCAAATATTAGAAATTTCTTTACTTTGCTTTACTCTAGCATGAAATATTTAGCAGGAAAAAGGTATATTTAGAGCTTAATGATACACAAGCAACTTCTGATTGTCCAAGACTGAATTAAAGTTAATGTTTAAAATAAAATAAATAAATTGTTTACTGCAGCAAGGTGGAAAAATTACTGTTACAAATCCTTAATGTAAAGCAAAACCGTCTATAAATCACGAAAAGAAAAGAAAGCACTGGGAGCTAACAGCAGCAATAATGAATGCTGATATTCGACGATTAACTTAACAATTGCTTTTATCCATAAAAATGCATAATTTACTGCATCAACTCTGAAATACACACCGTATCCACAAAAGTCCTTACACGGCCTTTATTTTCGTAACCGTTGGTCGTACATATGCACTGGGTGTATCAACAAAATGGGTGGGTATATAAACGAAAGCAGACCCTCATTCCAATGAAGCAAACTTAGAAGTAATGATGTAGAAGAAACATTGATAGCGTAGATATGCAGATTTACAATGAAGAGCAAACTTTTCAACCAAGGCAGATTAAATATTCTTCTTTATTTACAAAAACATGTAACGTCCACAAATAACTTGGCACTATAATTCGTGGTTTCAAAACGTTTATATTTTTAATTGCTTGGCGGTAAAAAGAGCAGCAAGCAGGAGTCTCTCTATGCCAAAGCGCAGAAACCAAGTATTTGTATTCAGGATGAAGTCTTAATTCAGTTCTTCTCAGTGCATTTGATTGGATAATTAATACTGCTGTAAAATTATTATTGGCTATTTCAGTTTTAATTCCATTTACATCATCAGCGTTATTTAAGAGCCATATGACGTGGATTAGTCTTGAAATGACACAGAACAGAAAAAGATTACTATTTTTAGAATAGAGAGGGGAAATACCGAATTAAAATTAAGCAATAAGGGCCCAATGTTAATTTAAATTATAGATAATATTTACATTTCTTATCGTTGTTACATATATATATTTCTGGTACTGCCTATCGCAA